GCTGAAAAAAAAAAACAACCTTACCAATGTCAATCAAAAAACGCTATGCCATGCCATGCCATGCCATCCACCGACACTTTTTATTTGCAGTTTTTTCTTCTTCACTTTTTTTTTTGGCCCAACAACACATTCGCAGATCCATTGAGAAATGCTGAAGGTTAAAATGCAATTGAATGAAAAAGAAATACAAATAATTGGGCAGACATGAGAGGAAAGCTAAGCTAAGGTGGCTTGTGGTGACACACAAACTGGGATTCTCTTGGCGGGTTTTTACCTGCTCTTCTCGCTTAACTGATTAACTATGTACGGGGAGTACGAGAGACACTTGTCGTTAAATTTGCTTAATAAATTGGACTTCATTAGCGGGTTTAGTCATAGGGAAAGAGGTAAGCTTACCTTTCAGGCGACTTAATGGCTATGAAAGAGATTTCAATTTGAGACAATTTGGTGGCCAGGGAGGTTCATTAGCTGTTGAATTTCATATTAATTACGATGTTAGTTTAGTTTTTACTTAACTTACACTCATTAAGCTATAAGAATCAAGGAAACTATCTCATAAAACGAAGAACTACTGATTTTGAACCCCTTTAAAGCTCTTAATTCCTTACCAAATCTGTTTATAACTCAAGTTTGACTTCCTCAACCTCTTATAGCTGCCTTTTTGGAGTAGTTTAAGACTTGCAACGCCCATTTAATGAAGCTCAGTGAACATGTCGAAGTGACAATATGGTTTGCTATTGCCGCTGACCAAAAAAAAACTCAAAAAACGTTCGAAATTTGAACCGTGGGCGAGGCAAACGGTTCGTGGCCGTTACCAATCGTTGGCTCTTTTTGTGTTTCTTGAAGTTAACTTGGGTTCAGGCCAGGTTTAGTCAAGCTGTGGGCCAGTTACTACTATAGCCTCTACAGTATAGACAATTACAGTTAGCTTGGCCTATGCAAATTGCGTGCATGACAACAAATTTGTGGACTGATTGATTGACGGGCCGGCTGATTGGAAAGGTGTGCTGCTCAGACGCAGGCGCACGCACCTCAGAAATGCTATATGGTAAAGATATATATATACAGATATGCAGAAAGAGAGGGGAAAAAGCGCGGCCAGACGTCAGCTATTAACCTTGATTTGCGGGCCAGCCAATAAGCAAAACAAAGAAAAATAACAAGAAATAAATAAATAAATAAATAAGCAACAAAAGTCGTGCAAATGAAGTCATTTCGAGTACTCGGCTAGCCTTTCAATTGAGGGCAACAGCTTTAAAATAGGTTTATATATATATATATATACGATTTATATATCTGCAGCCAAGCATGGGTGAAAAATCACCCACTACTACTTAACTTTTTGTACAGGCAGGTGTTGGGCCAAAGTTCTTGGCTCTTTAGCGGAAATGGCCAGCAACTTTTGGCACTTTACAGTTTGTCGGGCCAAAAAGCAAGACAAAAACGAGGCTTAAAATTATGGAAATAATTAATGAGACACGCTTAAAGACTTGACAAAATGTTACGACATTCAAAAGCAAATTGGAGGGATTCTTAAATATGAATAAAATTTATTTTGGTTTAAAGTTGAAAACGAGGCTAATTATTTGATTTTTTCCCAAGCGCGAATTCCCTCGTCATTTCGTGATAAACAGAATTTGGTTTTTTCTTTCTTTTTGATAAACTTTCCACAAGTAATAATCAGAAATGAAATTAAGTTCTATATGTATGCATTATAATGTGATTTTATTTTTAAAACGCTAACCTCAATTTGGCTTTGGTGGTTTTTGTGCTGGTTCCCCGCATCCGATTGCGATTTTTTAATTACCCCGACAAGAAGCAAATTGAAAACCGGCTTAAAATCCTGCCATGACATCAGCCCTCTCTAACCATCATCATCATCATCATCATCATAGCCATTATCGGGCATCAATTTCTCAGCAAAAAAAATTAAATATAAGAAATTAAAAATACGCTTTTAATTTGTGGCTGCCACGCCGCAGGCACAGTTTTACGCTTAAAGAATCTGCGCAAAAGATTCTTTCGATTCTTCTGCCTGTAACGCGTCTTAATTTTCGGCTTCTTTGGGAAGCAGGAAAGACAAGTGCGAGGGTCGTTTGAAGAAGTTTAAGTTTGGTTTTTAAGTTGGAAAAGAACATGGAAACTCCTTTCATCGCTCTAAAAACTATTTTTCTTCATAATATTAACCCAAAAGTAACCCCTAAGATTGCAAAACCAAGCCAAGGCCTAGAGATTTACTAGAAAGAACTTTCCTTTTTGTACCCCTTTGATCGAAACTGCTGGCTTGACCCTCTGGCTGCGATTTCTTTCACCTCTGCCAAGTGTTCTTGCCACCACACTCACACACACACACACACACACACACCTGTTAGCCATGTGTGTAATGTGTAATGTACTTATGGCCAACATTCTGTGGTATCATCTCCATTGTGATGGCCTCTTCCCACTGCCACTTCCTCGTCTCGAAACTCTTTCTCAACACCGCTATCTTCTGTCGCCGCTCGACAAAAAAAAAAAAAAGAAAGAAAATCATGGGGGAAAAGGGGGGAAGAAAGGGGTGCTGCTCCGGGCCAGGCTTTTGTCAATTCATTGTCAACAAGTCAGTGAACTTGTGTGTGCCCATCTGAGAAAAAAGACGAGGCAAGACAAAGGGAAAAGAGCAAGCAGGCCAGGCAGAGAGCAACCCAGCAACCCAAAACCCTCCAGAAGGGCGGGGAGAGCAGGGGGCATGGTGTGGCTTTTTCTTTTAAAAATAATTAACATAAATTAATAGGAAATGGGTAGAAGCAGCGCACAACAACAGTTACAAGAAGACACGGAGCCTGAGAAGTCGAAGAATTGCATACTCTTGTGGGGGAAAACAGGTTTCTTAGGGTATCTTATATAGCAAACTTAAAGAAAAGCTTAGGGAAAACATAAAATTAATAAGGAAAATATGCAATAAAAGCTTACAGGTACAAGCTGCTATGAAAACATATCAAAAATCTTAAAGTTTTTAATACAAAAAAGTACTTAAAAACTCTACGAATATGTATTTAAGATTATAAAATATTTTTAGCCAAGCTATCACCCCATTATCTAGATAGTTCTAAGCCCTCCACCAAAGCGTTATGCCCACTTTAGGCCCCAAACAATGTTCCACAAAAAAAGCATCAACACGAATCTCAGAAAAGAAACCAGGAAAGCAAAAAAGTTCGCGTCTTAAGTCTTTCGCTTCTTTTTTTTGTATTTATGGCTTTTTGGACGCCGCCGAAACTTACATAAGATGGCAAGAGATGCCGGAGACTGCGAGCGAGACCAATTCCCGAGTTATTTATGGCACACGCACCCGCAGAATGACAAAATGCAGCCCAAGTGGTGTGCAAAAAAGCAGCAGAAAAACCAAATAAAAGAAATGTTTCTTTTTTTTGGCATTTAAATTGCTGGAGAAAGAGCAGGCGTGTGCAAAGTTGCAACTGCGGCAAGAGTTGCGGCAAGTTGTGGGTTAATCAGCACCTGTCAGGGGCCCCTGAGACGCAATCAGGAAGCAAAAGCCAAACCCTAGTAAAAAGCAGCCCTCCTCTGGCTCAATGTTCACATGTTGATTAGGTTTCGTTTCGCCTCTTTTTTTTTTCATCTTACTTCTTTTTTTTTCTAGCAACTCTTTCTTTATGGTTTTGCCCATAATATATACGACATGATGTAACATATAGACATGGGCGCACATCGAAGGAGGCAACAAATCGATGGGAATAGCTAAATCGATTGCCACAAACGAGTTTTAGCCAAGTTAAAAACTAAAAAAAAAAAAGGGTTGGCAGTTGGCAGTTGGCAGTAGGCAGTGAGTTATCGGGGATTCTTAATGATCTCACACTGGCATTAGCATTTCGAATTGAGTAGCGAAAGCATTATAATTGAGATAAATGTCAGACTAAATATAGTTGATGAGCCAGCAGCACGAGCTAAAACGAATTTGCAAGTCAATCTTAGGGTACATTTTTTTAAAAACTATTTTTATAAACAAAATACAAATCAAATAGAAATAGATAGAAATTTGTCATAAATTGTTATCATTTAAAACAATTATTTTCAATTAAATTTTCTATTTTCATAGTTAATTGCTTCATTTTTTTTTGTAAATTTCGTTACCAAAGGTGTGCTTGCTTTTGCACTTCGGTCCAAACTCATCATCATTGCCAAATCGCTTTTTGCCCGCGCTTATTTATTGTATTTTAGCTGCCTGTTTTGCCCAACAATTATTTACACATTATACAGTGTCATTAGAGGGAAATTATAATTATTATTGTTGTTTATTATACAATGCAACAGCCGCGACAACGAACACTCTCAAAAAACAAGCACAAGTGCTGGGTAAATAATGTGTAATGATTCGATAAATATGGGTATCGACGAGATGGGTTCGAGTGTCGAGTGTCGCCTTGGCCTGGGCGGGGTAAATAAACAAATAAATGTTCGCATTTACTTATTATTATTGACAAGTAATTGATTTCGCCTTCTGTTGGCCCGATCGAGTGACTGACCGCTGCACTTTCACTTTATCATTTTTAATATAAATAGAAATTTTATGCTGAATTTTGCGAACGGGAGAAAGGGTGGCAATGAATCATACTAATTCGGGAATTTCTGTTATAAGCTTTTTATATATTAACGGATTAAGTATGAAAACTGTTATACTGAATGAAATGTCCCCAGACCGTTCAAATTACATATACATACGTACATATGTATGTATGTATGTGTATTTGTTTTACAAAGATCTTTTTGCTTATCCTCTTTCACTTTTTCTTTCCTCTTTATGGAAGCCATTTTGGGCACTTAATATTTCATACTGGCAACGCTCCTTCTAAACTGTTATTTGCCTGCCTTTTCTAGTAATACACTTCGCAAAATAAGGTTTACTTCTTTTCAAATATTATTATTTTCCTCAAATAATATTCCTTTGATTTTATCAAAATGGCAAATAGAAAAAGTATACATATGTATATTTTGAAGCCACTTACCTTCATTTTCCTATTTCCTAAAGTTTTGTGTGTTGATTAATGATAACTTCTGATTTCCAAGTCGTATTTCTTTTTTCTGCGTGCATCCTTTCATTCTCCTCCATCCACCTCCATACAAATGCCCATACACATGTATGCATGTATGTATATGTATGTTGTCCCGCGGAGCACCACTAGCACTTTTGCATAAAAAACAGCGAAATTGACCATATAATTTATATAAAATGAACAAAATCAAAACACTGACCTGCCCATCACTTTGTATGTTGTAATTGACCTATTTTTGACACTATTTACAAGGCCTGACAGCAATTGAATCTGATTAAGTACAGCAACCCTCTGAGTATGACTTCTGCTTTGCCAAATCAATGAATGACTGGAAGCTAATTTCATGACGCAAGTCCGTGAGAGAGGATAACGGATCTTTCCTTTGCTTCTTCTCTCTCATTTGTACACCCATTACTCGTAGAATAATAGGGTATGATGTTTAAATATATCTTTATCATAGAATTTAAATTATTTTAGATAAAAGTTAATATTAGATCAAATTCTTTAGTTTCATGCTTGTTTTATTTTACATTTTAAAAATATATGTTATTATATTACATACATATATTTACATATATAAGGGGTAAATTTTGTTTTTATATTTCAAGTTTATTAGAATTTGTTGATTATTCTACTACTCTTACGTAGATTGTTTTTACAACATATAATCCTATATATATTGCAAATTAGTGGGTAACCACATACCTATACAGTTAATTGAAATTTGCACATCCATGCACCTACACATTGATATACAATTTGAATGCGCAGGCGCAATAGCAAGGATTACAGTTAATGCTCTCTGAAGATCTTCGCTTGCTTCTCGGCTCTCAGTTGTTTTCACGCTTAGAACGAAGAGGTTGTAAAAAAGACGAAGTGCAGCTGAAACTGCTTTATTTGTCATTTAAAATTGAAGTCATTGGGTGAACGCATATCATTTAATTAACGAGTTAAGAATGTATTTTTTACGTGAGTGCCATAAAAAGCTTGTCTTGTGCCCAAAATTATTCTGGACTTCCTGGAATTTTCTCAACCCAAAAAAAATCAGTCAAGCCAACAGTGTAAGTAAGCCATGACAAAGGAGAAAAGAACTAACGAAAAAAAGGGATAAAGTGAAATAAAATAAAATCAAGACACGCGTCCGAAAAAGTTCTTGAAGCAAGACAGAAAAAATAAACCCGAGATGGGGAGGCGAAAACAAAGCTAGATAGCGGTCGTTGGAACAGTGCGAGAGAGTAATTATATCATTTAATTTCGGTTATGCGGAGAGCAGTTAAACTACAGGTGCCCGCATCGAAGGCCCACGAAAGACTTTTCTTCGGTTTGTAATTGCAAAGTTACGAAGCGTTAACACCCCGTAAAGATTGTCCAATTTGATTGTGTTGATAGTGAATCGAAAAACGGGGTCTCAAAAGTGGGTATTTGGCTTTTTAGGGCTTTTAATTTCTGCTTCGGCCTTTGGCTTATGTAAAAGTACGCCCCCTATCGGTGCAGGCCCGCATGGGAGCAAAGGAAATCAAAAGAGATGGTCAAGATAGCCGTGGTCTTTGATTGATGTTTCGCTTTATCGAACAATTTATCAGGGTCTTAAGAAGGTGCGGTCATTGAGGGGCGTTTATTCACATTCCCATTACAACAGACTTGGGGGAAAATATAGCTAAAAACGGTTAATCATTGCTAATTAATAATAGTACAGTGGGGCATCGAATGGGTGGAGGAATTACTACAATTATATGGCTTACCTTAAGCTAAAGGTTAGAAAAATAATTTCTACTTGCTTTCTAGGTAAATACAAGATTTTATAGATTCAGCAGTAAGCAATATTTAATTAAATTTAGTTAACTTAATTTCAAACTTTCATTCCCCAAAAAATCCCCGAAATGGCTCAATATCTTCTCCAATTTCTTCTCATTAAATTTGATTTTGATTCATGGTGATTCATATATCTTTAACTACTACTCGATCTTTCCAAAATTGATTTCATAGCCAATCACTTGATTCATCTGAAATGTTCAAGGAGCTGATGGCACGCCCTCGACTTTTGGCTTTGAATTTTGAAGCTATTTTTATGAGCTGCGTTTGATGGTTCTGTGACACACCCAAATACGTTTTCACCCAATCTTCAATCGATTGAAGCCGCCAGCAAAAATCTTCGTCGTCATCTCCCTCTCTCTCTGCACTGGCTTCACCTACGTTTCACCGGCGGCCTCTCCAGCCTCGAAAGCAATTTATATTGCGCTAATCACGTGAAATAGATCAAATTTCTTTTGTCGGCTCGACTCGAGATCTTTGGTTTCGAGGGCGAGACGAAGCGGGAGGAGGACGACGACGACGACAAGAGAGCGGTTCCACTTCGGATCCAAAGATTCGGAATTGGCGCTTCGAGGAGCTCCAAGTGAGTTTCACTTGTTGTGGCAAAAGTGTTGCCAAGTTGAGCTCGAGATGGGGTTGTCAGCCAAGTAGGATAACCATCGGGGGCATTTACGTGGCGAAATTTCAAAGAAAACATATAGAGAAATAATTGTTTTTTTATCTTAATAATATAATTTATAGGAAAAAAAGAGTAATTAGTGTAAAATTAATAGGAAAAGGTTACCTTAAGATGGTAAAACTTGGGAAAAGAAACCTTCCTCAGGATTAATAGCATCATTTTCTTAAAGAAAATCTTAATAACTTCTAGTATTTTGCAAATTGATTGCAAATCAGTTTAAAAATCGAATTAAAAACCCTATAAAATATATATATTTTATAGTAAAACTACACCTTCAGCACTTTAAACAAGTGAAATTCACATGCAAAAAACAGGATAAAAATCAAGTTATTGATTTAATTTGGATTTAAGGAGTTGCAGATAAAGAAAAAATCAAATAAAAGCTGGGAGAAATTCACTTTCCTATCGCTGGTAATTGAAAGTTTCGTTGACAAATTCAGAGCTCAGAGCTTAGAAGCTTACGAGACCAGCTTTAGCTCCTAAATTTCACTGCTCTCCAAAAAGAAATAATATCCGATCGAGTGGGTCGCCACTGCCACATGGCTAGCAATGTTTTAATTTGTATCTTTCCATTTTCATTTCCATTTCCACGCAGACTCCATGTGGCACTCTCACCGAGGCCTAATCTGCAGGTGGATGGCATCGGGGTGAGGCTGGGGATCACGTTATGGGGATGGCGTATGGCTCTTGGGTATGGGGATGGGGATGGGGATGGGGGCTTCTCGGCGGAGAGATGGCATAGTGATTGGTTTTGCCTCCGCTAATGATGATTACCCACTTTTACCGGCCACATATAAAAATCAAAAGCGGTTTAACGCGTTTCTCGACTCTCGGACACTTTATGCACTGCCTACAGATGGACTGAGAGAAATTTTAAGAACTCCAAGTCGAAGTCGAAATCAATCAATTTATGTTCTAGAATGATCTTAAGTTGATAGGTAACCCGTTAGAATGTTAACAGATCTTGCAAACATTCCCCCTCAAAAACATCAAAAACTTTTCCAAAGTTGTATAAGTTTTCTCTCAGTGCACATATTTCGCCTCTGCACTTCTCGTCCGCCTCATTGCGATTCAATTAAAAACGCTTAACCACCGCACAACCCGTTGTGTCGTCGCACCCAAAAGAAAGCCACTTGCTGCTGCCATACAAATCAGTTACTAGAGCTCGGGGCGTGGCCCCCACATCTTGACTTGGCTTGGCTTCTTCCTTGGCCTTGGCCATATTTATCTCTTGATTTCTCCCAAAATATATATATATATAAATATTTGAGCAACCAGTTCCCAGGTGAATTTAATTGCAAATTATCATGTCTCGGTATCATGTGTAATTTTTGAGCTGGCCTTAAGTTTTCCATCGTCGAAGAAAAGTGAAATTCCATTTGGCAATTGTTTTTGGATGGCTCTTTCTTTCTCTCTCTCCCATTTCATGTCAGCGGGTTAGCAGGGATTTGTCAAAAAACGAAAGAGTGAAAAAAAAAAGTAAAACAAAAACCTAAATGGCTGGTGAAATCTGTGGGTGAAAAAACGTGCCGAAACTGCATTTATGGGCCTCTCAAATATGCCAGCCAGCCAGCCCAACAGCAGCAGACAAGGTCATTAAATTGTTATCACGGCTCTTGGTATGTTTTTACAATGTGTTTAAGACCCGATCATGTAAACTCTTGAATTTTGTCACGATTGGCATTTAATTTGGCTTCTTTTTTTTTGTTTAACTTAATCTCTAGCAATGCCAAATAGTCAAAGATCTATGTTTAAGCCATACAAAAAGGCCCCAAAAATGATGCTGCCTCATCATTCTGTAAATGCGGCTATTGTTTGGTCAAAATGTGCATTACAGCCACATTTTTATGGAGCAATTTCTTTAGTTAATTGAGGAAATACTGATGGTTTTCGGTGGTTTAGAAGGAAACAAAAAGGCCAGCCACCACCACCACTCCTTGTTATAAGTTCATTTGTGTTGGAGTAATGGAAAATCTACAGATCAAGATTGGGTGATATGAGGGTTAATTTGGAAATAGGAAATTATTAAAGGAAGGTTTTAGGCAGCAAATGAAGTTATTACACGTTGGAGATTGAGATTTCCTGGGCTTATTTTCTCTCAAATTATTAACAAAGAGTGGAGTATAACAATGTGTATTAATCAGTTTAAGTTTTTTTCATTTTTCTTTGCTTGAAGTTTTACTAAAAATCCAACATAAATACCATATAGACCCCCCCGATGATTATCTCATAGATTGGCCCGATTTATGGCCTTTGATCAGTTTAGAACATGAATGAAATTCAGCCGCCGGTTCTCAAAACAAGTTGTGATCACATTTTCTCACTTTATCCATCAATCAAACTCGAATATCTCGGGCATAGGAAATATTCATTCGAAAACAAGATCGAGAGAACTGGGCCAAAAAGCGAGCAAGAAAAAAAACTGAATCGACACCTTGGCTAAATTTGAGCATTTCCGTTTTGAAAATGCGGATTTCACTGGCCTGGCCAAAAGCCCAAGTTAAATGCCAAGTTTTTCATTTTTTTTCCTCAAGTCTTTTCCTACTTTATATCTTTGTTTTTTTCTTCTTGGTTTTTTGTTTTTTTTTTTTGTTTTTTGCAACCACAATCAATGTTGGCCAAGTAGTGCTGTTGGCTGGCTGGTGGTTGGTTGGTGGCTGGAAAACTTGTAGAATGCACGACGGCTTTTCAAAAAAGTGCTCAATGCTATATCAATAGCACAACAACAACCACCACCACCGCCAGTCAGTGGCAACAACAATAGCGTCTGTACACCTGTCTAAGCCAAAAACAAAAAAGAAGTCAGCAGCGGTGGCGGCGGTGGTAAGAAAAACGAAGAGCAAAAACAACAACACGTTGGCCCAGGCCGCGAAGCTGACGCTGCTGCGCCCAAAAACCCAACAACTTTTAATTTCAACACATTCCAGCACAAGACTCGGCAGCCAAGACAGCCGCACAGTGGTACCAGACATCAGAGATTTGATCGAAAAGAAAGGCGATGTTTTCGTTATACATTGTTGAGCCCGTAATTTTCATTATCTTTGAGCCTCATAAAAACATTGTCTTTTAAGCCTCCAAGAAAACACTTCCATATGTTCTACTTTTTGATTTTTAATGATTAACAGAAAATTTAAAACGAAATCCGAATCGAAACTGTGTGCTTCAGAACCAGAAAGTTGTCCTCTTTGTTTAGTTTCGGTTTAGTAACAGCGATCGCAAGATCCTCGGGTTGGGCAACTTTGAAAATCAACCAACTTCCGTGGGGCAAGACCCAAGACAAACTTCTCCAAATTCCTTCACATTAAGAAAATCAACGGATGGATGGATAGCAGGAACCTCGGGTTCGGCAACTTTGAAAATCGGACAACGTCAGTAAAAGCGGAACCCAAAACATGAAACTTTTCCAAACTCCATCGCGTCATCAAAATCAAAATCAACGGATGGGTGGATCTCGGAAACCTCAAGATCGGCAAACATGGAAAACCAATCCTCGACTTTCTTCAAAACGGGATCCAAAACAACAAAGGTCAAACTTTTCAAAAGTCATTAATGTCCAAGGATACTTCACTATGAGAGTCCCCTGAAATAGAAAAATCTTCTAAAAAATCTTCTTCACGGAGAAAATCATCTAAGAAATCTTCCAAGTCCTGTGCACCAGAAGAACCTTCTAACGTATCCATGGGCTGAGATGTTTCATCGGCAATCTGAAAATTTTCTAAATATATTTCTGTATCTGCTACACGGTGCGAATCTTCCAAGAAATCCATGTCCAAATCTATGTTCAATTCTGTGTCCTGTGAACCGGAAGAATCTCCTAAAGAATCAATAGGCTGAGCTGTTTCTTCTTCTCGGTGAGAATCTTCTAAGCAATCCATGGGCTGAGCTGTTTCATCTGCTTTTATCTCCACCGAAATGTCAGATGTTACGGCTTCCTCGTCCTCAATTGGTAAATTGATAGCTCTAATCTCAAATATATCCCACTTTCCGGATTTCAATACTTTTTCGGTGTTCTCATGTAAAATTTGTTTTTTCAAGGCGATCATTTTCGCCTTGTATCGCGTATTGTAGCGATGTGTTGGCACGATAGGTAGATGAGAGAACGTATGAGGAACACCCGAAGATTGCGATTTAGGTGAACGTTTTTTTGGAATACCCATGTTTAGAAATATATAATTCGGATTCGATCACTTGGTTTGACTCGGTTTTTGTTTTCGATGTGGTCTGTGTGAAGCACAAAGTTTGAATGAGCCCAAGCTAAGCTGACAACATGGAAACAATCTTTTCCCAACTGACACTTTTCTACCCGACGACTTTATATCACTTTTTTAACCTTTGCCTTTGTCATATAGTAGGCGTTTGTAATGTGTTGGTAAATCCTGGCAAGACCTAACTTTGGCTAAGGAATAATGAGTGTTTCCCTCATAACTTAGCCAATAATGGTCCGAATATTAAATGTCATAGCTCTTTGAATTCGTATTTAAATTTCCTACAAAACTGTTTCCCCACCTAAAAATGTCAAATTTTTAGCCATTTTTCGAAAAGAAGAAAAATCAAAAATCAAAATATCGAAAAGGCAAAATTCGGCTAGTTCCGATTTGCCACCAAAGAAGCCCAAAAAAAATCTCATAACTAAGTCAATAATTGTCGAAACTTGGAATGCCCATACCGCGTTGATCTCGTAATTTAATTTACTGTCGATCTGCATTTAGGTCTGAAAAAGTAAATTCTTAGCCCTTTTACGCAAATTTTAATGATGCTTCCCCTTATTGAAAATTCAGAATTTGGTTAATCCCAATTTTCCCTTCCAAAATTACAGTATTTTGTCCAGGTTTTGAATAAAAACCCTTAAAAAATATTGAAATTTTCCTTTAAAAAAAGTGATTTTCCATCCAAGCCAAGTTCCCCCATTTGATTTCACCTCAGATGATCTGTTTTCTCGATCACCTGGCCCAAGGTGCGATACAAAGCAGTGGGTACTACGAACGTACGCGCGACTTGACTTTCTTTGCGGCCTAAGCCAAAAAACAAGTTCGGGCTCGGCTCCGTTCGGGCCAAGTTGGTGCGAGCTGTACAGAGAGGAAAAACTGTTAAGCTGTTCGAGTTTATACCAATATTATAGATATTTTTTAAAACAGAAATGAATCTAGTTAACAGGCAGTGACTTTCTTCTTCTGAAAACTCTTCCTAAAATATCCAAAACCTTAAATTTATGTTTCGTTTATAGAAATTTTCTCTCAGTGCCTGGGTTCCATGGTGCGATGTGGCTGGATCGGTTAGACGGGGTGGTGGTGGGCCAGGGGCTTTACGGTACGGCTCGTTCGGGAGCTGTGGGCTCTGAGCGGTTTTCGAGGCAGTCAGCCAAGTCAGTCGATTGCTGGCGGTCGAAGCGTTGAGACGTCTGTTCGCGGTTAAAAACTCAAACTGTAGAGCGCGAGTGAGGCGAACTCTTTTTGTTAACTTTTTTTTCTATATTTCTACCAACCACTCATAGATACTGAGGTGTGTATTAGTGTGTGTGTATATAACTATATACATATATATAGTGTGATAGTGTGTGTGTTTGGCAGCGGAGAGAAAGAAGACTCTTGGCCATTACCGTTAATCAAATAAGTTTTTTAGAAATTTAAACGCTCCACTTCGGCGTGGCTGTGTGCGTGCGTTGCTGCGCGCGTGTGTGTGTGTGTGTGAGAGAGCTTTAAACGGTTCATTGATCGAGTTCAGCTCGGAAATGGAGCAAAAGCGGAGAAAGAATAAATACCAAAACGACAAAAACAAAAAAAAAACAAAACAAAACAAAACAAACGAGCAAACAAATAGTGCAAGTGCCAAAGTGTGTATATGTATGGGACATCTCTGTATGCCAGTCTGTGTGTGTGTTACCAATTCGCATCGCAAAAGGCAGCAGCAAATGCGCTTAACCCATTTTTGTTTATTTCTCAGCAAAAGAAGAAATAAACCGAACAACAAATGCCAATACAAATCCAATAAATGGCCAAAAAAGGCCAACAACAAAAGGCAATTGTTGGTTAAAACTAAAAAACAAAAACAAAAACTCAGAACACACACAGAAACTAACGCCCAGAAGAGCTCTTCATTTGCATACACAGAAAGAATGGGATTGCTTTTATAAGGAACTTAGTGAAGAAAATGTTAAAAAATGTCTGAAAAATAACATAAAAACATATTAAAATATATTAGATCGATGTTAGGTTAAAAACTTAAGACATTAGAGACCAACATTTTCTTATAAATTCTATCAAAGCGCACGAAAAAGACTGCAATTTTTTAAGTTTAAATTGATTTTTTACATTTCTGATACTTCTTAAGTCATTTCTTAAGGTATCACAAAAGTATCAACAAGTTTTCTGTATAAAAAATATTTAAATTACTATAAAATACCAAATAGAAACAAAGGGATGTGTAAAAGATCTTTATAAGAGATCAAAATATACCAAATAATATGATTGAATATCTGAAATAACTTCATAAAAGATTATAAAATACGAAATAAAATCATTCCACATCTGAAATATCTTTATGAAAGATCATTAAGTACCAAAAAATCGTGGTATATCCGAAATATCTTTATAAAATATTAAAATATACCAAACAAAATCATGGGATATCCGAAATATCTTCTTAAAAGATCAAAATATACCAAACAAAGTCATGGGATATCTGAAATATCTTCATAAAAGATCATAATATACCAAAAAATGTCATGAGATATCTAAAATATCTTCATGAAAGATCGTAAAGTACCAAAAAATCGTGGTATATCCGTAATATCTTCATAAAAGATCATAATGTACCAAATAATATCATGGGATATCTGAAATATCTTCATAAAAGATCATAATATACCAAAAAATGTCATGAGATATCTAAAATATCTTCATGAAAGATCGTAAAGTACCAAAAAATCGTGGTATATCCGTAATATCTTCATAAAAGATCATAATGTACCAAATAATATCTATAAATATCTGAAATAACTTCGTAAAAAATAATAGTATACCAATAAATGCAAAAGGGTGTCTAAAAGATCTTCATAAAAGATCATAATATACCAAATAAAGTCATGGGTTATCTGAAATATCTTCATGAAAGATCATAAAGTACCAAAAAGATATTGGGATATCTGAAATATCTTCATAAAAGATCATAGTACACCAAATAAGTTACGGGATAACCGAAATATCTTCATAAAAGATCATAATATACCCAATAATATCATGGGATATCTGAAATATCTTCATAAAAGATTATTATACATCACTAATAACACTAATTAAAACAACATTGAATAGTTTTTCAAATTAAATAACATTCTTCCATAAGCAAATATGAATATTCTCTTCTTTCTATATAAACTCATTCAAATTTAAAGTTAGTTATCACCAAAAATTCCAAATCTTACTCAAACCATAAACTATAAACAAATTATTCACAAAGCGGCTAGGCTAGACATGAAACTTGTATGAGATAGTTAGGTGCTTCTACAGATTGCTCAGATATACCAGATATATGTATAAACTAAACGTGTACATAAGAAAAGACCCCTCCTCAGATACTCAGATACAATCCGGCCTAACAAAAGATCTCTTTGCAAATTGTTTATTTGCTGGTTGGCTGATCAGCAAACGGATTGTTTATGCTAATACCTACCCGTACCAGCAACTGCTCTACGAACCTGGCTGGCTTGGCTCTTTCAACACATTTCGCATTTGGGTATTTTTCTTGCTACTTCAGGGAGTTCCTAAACTCCTTAACTGGTTTACAGATTATTTTTTAACTAAATTTAGAACTTAAAAGGTCTTTCAGTAAAAACCCAACTAAACACCTGCAAATGATATCTATGAGGCGTGCTGGGCTTTTTATAGATGGTGACTTCAGTTCAGTGGGCCATCAATCAATGTTCGCCACCTGGGAAATGCTTTCCGGAAACTAGTTTTGACCACAAGAGACATGCAAAGATAATGGCACAAAGCCAAAGTTTATAACTTTACTTCCTGAATTATAACCAAAAAAAACAAAAGTATGGCCAATCGAAACGAATTGCAAATTGTTAACTTCCACAAAATGTTTCTCCCTCCCCAATGCTAATTTTAAATTGGCAATAAGAGTTAATAAAATTTAGCTACTACACACTTTTTAGACTACCCCAAAAAGCAGCCTGAAATCACGTACTACCCTATATCTTAATAGAACTTCTGCCATTTTGATCGTTTCCTAACACAAGCCAGCCCAGCTGTGTTTTTCACATTCCATCAGGTTTTTGGTTTCTTTTTTTCTTTTCTTCTGTTTTTTGTTTATTATTATGCATTCTCGATTTATTTTTTTTATATATATTTAGATCCGTTTTGAGGTTAATAATATCGTTTGTGGGCAGTCAGTCATTTTTTTTTATTATTTTTTCTCTTTTTTTGCGACTTTTGTATGTTAATTTTTTAAGCACACAATAAAAAGTCTCCTACTCTGCGGTTTTTATTTGCCTTGCTGTCGAGCTGAATGCATAACAGAAAAAACAAGATTCTTTTCGTGGCAAACAACAAGTCGCACAAAATCATCGATTATAAAAGTTATTAGGGGAGAATCTCAGGCATAGTATAGTGCACGAAGAAAAATTAAGACGTAAGTTTTAGATTTTTTAAAGAATTTTTAACCATAAAAGTTCAGGAAAGGGTTAAACAAAATATAGTAAAAGGCAAATAGTAACTATTTTTGAGCATTAACTAAGCTTAAAATTCATAAAAATATATAGAAAATGTTTAAGAATGAATCTAAAAATGAAATCTGAGCGATAGCGGCTATAGAATGGCTCTACATTGGCTTCTTATTTAAACTGCCAACAAAATTCAATAAAACTCAGAAAAACCTGAAAAAATGTTCTTAATTTCTATTGCAGATCTTAAATAATCACACCAAAAATCGTATACTATTTTTCTCACTGCATTTAAATGGCATCCCAACACCTGTGTGACGGGTTAATACCGTTCGCTGGTTTGGCCGGTTCGATTTTGGTCGGTTTATTTCTTTGGTTTTTGGTTTTTGGCCCCAGTTTTGATGTTCCTTCACGGATGGTTTTCTGGTTTTCTCGTTTTCTCACAGAATTATGACACATGACGAGATTGCATTTGAATCCATCTGGTTTGCCGTTAGCCACCAGCTACCAGCCAACAGTCAACAGCCAACAGCCAACACCACTTACAGTGCCTCTCAAAAAGCAGTTGCCGCAATTTGCATTCCAGTTTCTGTTAAGTCGCTTTTCGATCAAATTGAAATTCCGCCGTTCGAAAAAAGAAAAAACGTTTCCTCTTTGACATTAAGATCTGATTTGTAGTGTCATTAATCATACCCGAATTGCCGATATATCGGACCACTCTCGTGGGCAGAGTAATGGGATTATGTGTGTTTCTTTTTTTGGTATTCGAAATCTTCCGTAGAGTCTGAAATCTTCCGATTTGGGATGCTTCTTTTGGTTGGAAGCTAACGGTGGGTTCTGTTAGAAAAGCTGAAGAATCAAAATGGGTTTTTTCGTTGATTTGTTGGTAACCTGTTTTTCCCTCAGAGGAATTTTAACACATGTTTAGCTTTTATATATTTTGGAACTTGCTTTTTGGAGACCTTAAATTTGATATCAAAAATATTTCTTAAATTTATAATAAATAATATAAAGAAAATCAAATGAAAAAGCATTTATTAGCCACTCAAATTTGAAGATTTCTTCCATATCAAGTCAAAAGATTCCTATACAAGCCTTGTTAACTTCAAAATATATATTATTAAATAATAATACAACCAAAAAATATAATTTTTAAGTCATTGCTTGCTTTATTTTTGGTATTTCAAGTCAAGTAAATGACCTGAATTTTACTTAATTTTTTTAAGCATTTCAACTTTTAGTGGTTTTTGCGTCATCCCTTTAGGAATCTCTCAAAAAGTTGGGGTTAAACTTGTTTTTAAATTTCAGATTTTAAATGCCAATCTTTTTTGTTCATTTTTTTACTTAAATCTTAAATCTTAAATTGATTTCAAAGCTTATGCTAATAAAGTGATGTCAATAAGCGATTTGTAATTGATATTTACCTTGACTTCGTTTCTTATTAAACAGAAAACAAGTTGTTACTTTTTAGCTTGACTTTATATACTATATTACTTATAAAGAAAATTGATTTATTTGTGATTTATAAACTTAATTTATTATAGCTTATCTGTAAGAGATTAATCTTAAAGTATTAAATAGAAATTTTTAGCTAAAAATATTCAAAAAATCAATTTTTTCCCCTTTAAATTACTTAAAAATCGTGTAAGAGATATTCTTCTATACAAATCCACTTCTTTCCATACTTAATAGTAAAATTTTTAACCCATCTAGTTAAACAAAAAACTCGTTTAATTTTAATTTTCATTTATTATCCAATTTCCCTTACCATAAATCTAAAAATCCAATCTAAAATTCCATTCTCAGATGATCTAAATGCCAATTTAGCATTTACGAGCCAACCATCGACGGATTTCAAATTGCTTGTCGCATTTTCTTAGAGTGTGCCTGAGTTGCACATTCCGTACTGAAGATGGCGCTGCGCCTGCGACGCGACGTACAGAAGGCCTCCTACTATGTGTGGTTCCTGGGCGCCGAGGAGGCGAAAGGTCTGCGGGGCGCTCGCGTTATCAACTCGGTTCTGCCATATTTGGTAGACAGATCCCGCGGCCAGGAGCCGCTCAAGGTCACGCTACAGGTCTCCCACAAGGGCATCAAGATTGTTCAGGTACGTCTAGTAGATCTAGAATATCGAATATTTGGATCCTTAAATCCATTAACTCTTGTTCTTGGACATCTGCAGGGGGCCTCGAAGCATCTGATTCCACACAGTGCCATAACCAGCTCCGTGCAGACAGACGACATCGTCGCCTGCGTGCTGCTGCTCTACAATCCGGCCACCAAGTGTCCACTCCACGTTCATGCCTACCGCTGCGACTCGGAGACGACGGCAGAAGCACTGCACCTTCAGCTGCAGATCCTCATCAACAGGCCGGACAATCAGAAGCGTTTCGAGGAGCTAGAGACCAGGTGAGTTGTAGTTTTGGTTTAAAGAGGGTTAAAGTTGGGAAGAAAAAAGTCTTAAGAAGCTAAAACTAATTTATTAAAAATGTAAATTGAAATATTTTTGAAGCCAAGAAAGCACCGCTATGCCCGAACGAAAAACAGTTGCACATCACAATGTTAATTGGGGGGAGTTGCAGCAGCTGTTTGTGGGAGACTTTTGTTATGCAACATTTAATTAATTGTGCCGCCAACTTTGGGTGCAAGCAGGAAGCAGAAGCAGAAGCACTGCCACTGTGGCAGCCTGCCTGTGGCCACTTAGTCACTCCATTAGACACACTCACCCAAACACATGACGAGCAATCGTGATAATCGCCCGACTGAATGATGATGATGATGATGATGATGATAATGGGGACTTGGGACTCCCAGCGAGAGCAATAGAGATCCCAGTGGCCCGGTAATTGCAATGGCAATCTTCACTGCCTGCCTGCATGCATTCCCACGAAGACAGCCCCAACGATTCTGCCATCGCCCACGCTGCACCCACAGACATAGTTACAACCACATTCACGACCACGACCACGACCACATCCACGTCCACGTCCAAGTCCATGACTTTAAATATCTTAAATGCCTCTTCAAGCTCGATGGCTTCGCGGAAATTCTGTGCTTTTCTTTCATAGTTGCCGCCTGGCCAAGCTGTCACCAACGATAAAACTTGAAAAGCTGCCTGGCAAAGTGGAAAAATATTCAGAATTCTAGTAGCTAACGGTTCAGTCTTTGAACTTGACCTGGGATTAATCTTATGTAAGAGCAGGTTTACTAGAATCAAAGATAAAGGAAGATCTTCTATAGAAAATAGCTTGTCTTAAACTAAAATCTAACTCTAACCCGTTAATAACCATCGTTAATACTCATTTAAACTGGATTTTTGCAGATTGGGAATCCTGCCGCCCATTCCCATGAACGGCAGCAATGAGAAACGTCACGAGTCCAATGGCAAATCCTCGGCTGGCGGAGGACCTGGATCACATCACCACCAACTGCAGTCACAACAATCGGGAGGATATCAGGGTCGCAGGCACGAGACTTCGTCACCCAAGCGATTCAGTAGCTCCCTGGGCAGCGACACGGGCAATAGTACCCGGGAATCGGAATGTAGTGAAGACCATGGCCAGGCCGGTGGTTCCTCACCAGTTTCTAGGTCGCCGCCACATGGCAAACAGCCAAATCATTCCCATTCACATGCCCATCCGCATCCGCCACATCCACTGCATCATCCGCCGTTGACGCCGCAGCAGAATAGCGACCTCTTCGATTCCCTGGCCGCCGAACTGAGGGCCAAGTTGAATGGCAATGGACCACCGTTGTTGCTACCGCCAAGGGACTATGATACAGTTCATCGATCCAAGGGAAATCTGACGGCCATTGAGCTGAGACGCTGCCGGAATGCACTGATTGTGGGCGGATCGCCGAAGGGTCAAGTTCAGGGGACAGCAAACGCGACAGGCGGAGCGGCAGCCAATGCAAATGGCAAGCAGGTCTCCTCCCGAGGCTCCTCGGGTATAGGTTCCGACCTGGCACCAAGTCCCGAGCGACAGGAACTCAACAGTTCCAGTGGTAGGAAGAGATCTTAAAGTAAAAGTGACTTCCTATGAACCTTACTTAACTACCAATCCTTTACAGATGACGAACACTGGTCGAATGAGGCGGACAACTCGGTCATCGCTCTGAAGCCGTCACAAATCGCCCTGCCCCATCATGGGCAGCTCAAACGAAAGAGCGCCGTCCAGCCGCCGGAGGATAGTTATCTCCGTGATCTGCCAGCCAAACCATATCAGCCGAGAGCTAGCGAAAGGGAATTGGAGAGGGAAAGGGAACGGGACAGGGATAGGGAACGGGAACGGGAAAGGGATAGGGAACGTGAAAGGGAAAGGGATAGGGAGCGTGAACGAGATCGAGACCGAGAACGTGACCGCGATCGGGACCGTGAACGAGATCGTGAGCGAACCAAGACGCCAGCTTCCATTTCAAACAAATCCTGGAGTCGCGAAGATGAGATCAAGCCGATCATAATGCGTCCGGCTGACTATGATGCCAAGTTCAATCGGGTGATGCAGCAGGAGCAGCAGCAATCCTCCGGCAATCATCAGCCTGCAAAGCTACGGGACACGGACAAGTACAATGAGATCAATCGGTTGCTCAACAAGAAGCTATCACACGAACGGGAACGTAAGCCCAGGTCTCGCCACGAGGATAATCACGATGATTTCGAAGACTCAGATCCGGGCAGTGAGCCTCTACTCCTGCCACACCATCAACAGCAGTCACAGCAGGGTCCGCCACTGCATCATCACCATCGCAAGGAGAATCTCACCGATAAGCAAAAGTTCATGGAGTACACAACGAAGAAGCAGCAACTGCTCAAGAACTACGGTGGAGATGATCAGAGGTATCGCCAGCGGTACGTGGAGCCCACAGATCATCTGCCCTTCGAGCACTCGGCGGGTGGTGTACCGCCGCCAGCATCTGGTGGCTCAGCTGGTCACAATAAATACGCCGCCGTGCACAGGGGCACCGATTTGGGTCAAAGGACCACAGAACGTCGACAGCATAGTGACAGGGAACGTGCTGACCGGGATACAGATCGAGAACGACGAAGAGATCTGGAACGTGAACGAGAACACTCCAGGGATCGTAATCCGTATAGGGAGGCCGAGAGTCTACCCTACATACAGAGCATGGAGAAGATGATGAAGTCGACGGGCATGCGTTATGGCGAAGGTCCCAATCCCAAGACCAGGGAACGGGAAAGGGAGCGAGAACGTGAACGAGATCGCGATAGGGACTTCAGGGAGCCACCGCCCACCCAGCAGAACTCCCAGCGTGATCGTTTCCACGATGCCAAGGACAAGTTCCGAGCCATGGAACAGCGTCCGGCGGTCAACCGATATCCGGATATAGATGAACGTGACACGCCACACAGAGATCGTGATCCGTATAGGTCATCATCCCGCCGGCGTCGCGGTTCTGTGGAGCCACCCAGCACCTTCGAACAGTGGAGCGAGGAGGAGGAACCAACGGTGGTCAGCGAGAAATCCAATCAACGTGACCTTAACCGATCCCGTGCCAGATCCCGTGGCGAATGGGAACCAGAACCACCACAGCCGCCCAGACACTTGGAGCGAAATGTTAGGGATAGAGAGCGGGAACGGGAACGGGAACGGGATCGGGATTATAATCGAGATCAGTCCCGGGATCCGTATCGTCATGAACGCGAAAGGGAGCGACCGGGTGGACGAGCTCATTCCCGGGAATTCTTACAGAATGTGGAAACGAAAAATCCATCCACAACAGGCTCGAGTCGCGGACACATGGAGCGCTATCCCTCGCCCGCAGCCACGCCCAGCAGATCTGGGGATGTAGGTAATGGTGGTAACGGTGGTTCTTCCGGGGGAAATTCAGGCAAACCATTAGGTCAGATGCCCAAGGGCTATAGACACAGCTACGCAGAGCCTGTATTTGCTAGATCCGGTGGTAGAGTGGGTCTGGCGGCAGTTAATCCATATTGATAGGGATTCTTATAGGATCACAGGGGTGACCAAAGTGACCAGAAAGTGATCTTTGAATGGGGAAACCCCTGTGGCCAAAAGTTAAAACCGTGCAACGAATTCCAAACTAATCGAATGGGCGGAAAATAGGGGAAAAGTCGCAGAAGTCTTCAGGGTTCTTAAAAACTAATTTTGAAATTGTACTTAAAAATGGAAATTTCAATATTGAAAACATTTTTAAAGTCAAGCCTTAACTGTTTTTGCTTCAAAGATAAAATCATTTGAATTAAAAATCAGTTAACTGATCGCTTTTTGCATGTCTAAAGTGGAAAAAAGGGATCAGGCTTAGGCAGTATTATTAGTTTTTGGGAAATACCTAGAGATTTCTGCGATAATCGGAGCTAAAAAGAAATATAAAACATTTAGGCTTAGGAAAAAAGAACAACAAACAGTGGCAACTGCTTATGACGACTGCAAAAACTACAAACCACAAAGTTTTCCGTCCAACTTGGTCATCATAAGCACTTTGCTAACTATCACGTATAATCGATATACTCAATTGCTATAGCAAAGTTTGCCCTCTCCATCGGGATATACACATAGATATATATATCTAATCCTGTCCCGACTTTTAAACGCGCCTTAAGTAAGGGGCGAGATCGTACCGAAAAAGAAAGGCGCCAGCCCCTGTAATTATGTGCCTTCACAGAGAGAGAGAAATCGTGTTTTTATTATATGCATAATACTGATTTAGCTTACGATTATATATATATATATATAAATATATATATGAATCTAATGTTATCTAAAAAAAAAACAAGCCAACGAAACAAGAATCGGTTTGGATTTCTTACCAATTTTTTTTTTGTTTTTTTGCTACCTTAAGTTGCGCGGTTGGTTGGTGTTTAACCTTATTTTTTTTTTGTCTCCGCAGTTCACATATGTCATGATATCTGATATCTGTAAGCATATAATATAGATAAATATATATACAACATAAACATATACATAGCTGATGTATCTATTGTTATCAATTTGATATTTGCATTAATAAAGCGCTAGTAAAAAATATTAATAATCTTTTATGATACGTTTTTATATGGAAAAACGTAAAATTATAACTTGAAACTCTAAATAACTATCAGTTTTTATATAAAGAATTTGAAAACAAAAAGAATTGCTGATAACTCTTCGACTGGCTGTTGATTTTGTGGTCAACTTTCCGATAAAGTTTTATGTAAAGGACTTTTCTGAATTTAGTATGTGTTTTTGATACATTTTTTAACTTTCTTGACAGACTCTTAGAATATTTTTTAGTTTCAAGACTTCTTTAAGTGTAATTAATAACTTATCGTTGTAGTTTAAAAGGAAAAACATAAAATTAAAAAGGAGCGCTAAAAACTATCAGTTTTTAAATAGAGATTTTGAAATTAGAGAATTGCTGCTAATTCTTTGACTGGCTGTTGATTTTGTGGTCAAGTTTTTCTAAAATAGTTTATCCAAAGGACTTTTCTTAAACATTATAAGTGTTATTGATACATTTTTTAACTTTCTTGGAAGACTTTTAAAATATATTCCAGTTGCAAGTCATATTAAAATGTAAATATTTAAAAACCCTGATCATTGTAGATTTCTACATACAAATAATATACATGTTATTGACATGCGATCCACAGGCAAGGTAAAAGACGATCCATTCGTATTTAACATACTCGTATGTAGAAATCATGGATTTCCACCAAAAAGAAGATACATAAAATACACACCAAATCTTTTTGACAATTCTACATGATCATTACTTTTCCATAAGCTTTTACCCAAGCCAAAAACTTGAAATACAAAAACCTTGTTTTTTTTTTGTGTTTTACATTTTTATTGTTTAATTTAAAAACTTTTTGTTTGGTTTTTTCACAATAGTTTTTTGTTGTTGTTTTCTCATTTTTTAAGAATCATTTTTTTTTTCTCTTTCAAAACAAAAATAGATTAAGAAAAATATTTTATATAATATATTTTTTCTCTTTTTGTTTGTTGCTCTCTCTCAAGTTAATTTAAGAAACAATTAATCAAGTTCTTATTTAATTATACAAATTTAAAAAAAAATAGTAATTATATAATAATAAAAATAATAATTATAACGGGGGAAAATGCAAATAGCTGTTTGTTGTTATTTCTCTTTTTTTTTTTTTTTCAATATCTATTTTCTACTTCTCGTTCCGTTTTCCCTATGAATCGATCCATTGGGAAAAGGAGAAAAGCATTTAACTATTGTTTTCTTTCGTTTGAATTTTGAAATTACTATTTTCCGATAGCTTGATACTACTTTCTTTTGCTGTGTGTGATTGTCCTTATTGATGTGGTCCTGACCTTAGCTGTCGGTTATACACTTTACTATATATAGCGATGAGTGTGTGTGTTTGTGTGTGTGTATGTTGTGTGTGTGGCTGAATTTTCTTTTTTCTTAATTTTCTTTTATACAAACTCCGACACGAAAACGACGGCGGTCAAACGATATTGATATATATATATATTCATTAAATTTGTGGATCTCTTCAATTCACTTTTAGGAGGCAGGAAGTTCTTGTGGGTGGAAAAGGGGGACGTCGCTGGTGGAGGGGGGAGGGGGGGATAGTAGCAATAGGCTTTTGCCAGCGACCGGAATTATATTTGTTGCTTCTTCATCATCATCATCATTATCATTCTCATCAGTATCTTCTCTTTTTGTAGTAGTTATATATCTTTTTTCTTTTTCTTTCTGGAGACTCAACTCCCTTCCTTTCTCTTTCTAACTCGCGCTTTCTCGCTCTATATCGATCTGGCCATTAGATGGCTAATAGATTTACATGTTCTCGAACTGATCGACACGACGCTTTGTGTTGCCCTTGCGGATCTCGCGAAGCGTCTTGTACTTGTCACGTCCCTGGCGCACGTTCTCGCGATGGATCTTGTCGTTTGCCGTCTCTTTCGTCTCGTCGCGTGACTGCGCCAGATCTTGTTTCAGAGCCTGCAAAAGATATATATTAGATATATATTAAACATTCCTTTAAATAATTTAAATAATAACCCACCTTGAGCTGGTCATGCAAGCGCTCGTTGCGCTCGGCCAGCGTGCGTCTGTCCTCGATGGGATCCTTGATATGCTCGTCGGTGTCCAAATCGCGCGACACATCGCCGCCAGCATCGCCGTTCGTCAGCTCCTCCTCGTTCTCGTTCTCATCCTCGGCCACATGATGATGCTGCGGCGTTGTTGACGCAGCCAACAAAGCAGCGGCAGCTTCAGCCTGCAAAAAATTAATCACATTCATTATCAAGTTCATTTCGAAATTGGAAAAAAACTAAAGTTAGTTAACGTTTCTTTTGGAAAGTTAACTAATATTCAAAATTATACCGCAATGACCTGCTTGCGTCGAGCATCTTCGACCTCGTCCTGCAGACGCTTGGTCTCCTCATCCTTGGCATTGACCTCGTCCTGGATGCGCTGCACCTCCATTTGCTTGGCCATGATCTCCTCCTCGAGCTTCAATTTTTCGACGGCCTCCATGTTCTTGGCCTCCTCGAGACGCTGCAACATCGCCTGCAGCTCCTTCTGGCGCAGCTCCAATTCATCCTTGGCTGCCTGCAGCTGCTTCAGCTGCTCCTCCAGGCGACGGATCATGTCCTGGGCCTCAAGCAGATCGCGCTGCGAACGCTCCATATCCTCCTGCATCTGCTTCAGACGATCCTCGTACTCCTGCTGCTTCTTTTCAGCGCGTTCGCGTGCGGCCAGCGCCAGCTGCAGCTTCTCACTGAAAGGATGGAGGGAAAATAAAGATAATTTTTGTAAAGAAATTGGTTACAGATTACAGAGCTCCTCCATGAATCACAGAGCCAGTGACTTGGAATGCTCGAGAATTATGTTCTCTGATATGAAAGCCTCAAGAAATCGGTTTGCAAACATTCCAAGACTCTGATATGAGATAATACCAGCTCCCAAAAGCTTCCTCATATGGATTCATGAAGCATATAAGCTCTGTAAAAATGACAAATCTTTGAAGACTAACCGCTCCTGCTGTTTGGCATTCTTCTCTTCGCGCGCCTGCGCCTTCATCTGCTGCACATCGATGGTGTCCGGCTTGCGGCGACGCATGTACAGCTCATGGTTGCCCATGCAGAGGGCCAGGATGCGCTTGTTGATGCGAACGCGCGGGGCAAAGAACATAAAGTCGGGGGCCTTCTTGTCGATCGGCTTAATGATGAACTTCTTCTCCGAAAACGAAATATTACGAATCTCCGACCATGGGAAACCAATCTTGGGCGTCAGCCTATCGTCCTGCTCGTAAATATTCAGACCCAAGGCATCCACACCCAACCAGAGATCCGTGCCCTTCTTATTACGGATCTCAAAGTAATTGACACCGTACATTTCCAAATCCTGGGCAATCTTAAGATACTCCATCATGGCATCTTCGCGCAGCATGCTGCGATGCTCCTGCCACCAGGTCATGATCGACTGCTCCCATTCGTCCTTGGACATCTTGTGCTGGTCGATGACACGCTGCGGCAGCAGGCGATCGTTGGCCAGGAAACCGGCTGTGTGGGTGGTCTTATTGTGGTCACCATGACGCGCCTGGACAGCGTACGAGGCTAGGAGAACGGATGTCTCGGGCGGACAATAGATCTCATCGGTCAGTATGGCATTCTTGACCTGCAGATAGAACAGGCGCAGGGTAATGTCCTGGATCAGCTCCTCGGCCACATCCTCTGGATAGAATTTGGCACGGAATCTGAACTGCAAGGGGTTCTCCTTCTTAACGTCCTGGTTCATCACCTATACGAAAGGGAAGATTTACCTTTTTAGTAGATGTTTTAATAGAGAATTTTTGATATAATATAGAATTTTGGTTTTTAGATTACAGACGAACTTCGTTAATAGAGAAGCTGGTCTATAATTTAATTGGATTTTTCCAGATTAAATCAAATTAAAAATACAAATTTAGTGCAATTTTCTGAGTGTTACCCATGTCGAAAACGGCATTGATCCAGTCTAGATTTTTATACATTTGTTTGTTTTTTTTCATGTGGTGCAGCATTAAAATTATACACAAAGAATTTTAATTTATTAGTGATTTAAATAATTAATCCAAAAACTAACTTAAGCTGAGGAAAAGTCTAAGAAATTACAGGAAAACTAATGGGTTTATTATAGTTTCTTGATCTCTAGCAGTGGGTTTGGTTCTGGGCTTGACATATAGTTTCTTGATCTCTGCCCACCATATCATCGGCATCGTCATCTTCTTCACTGGTCTCCGCCTGATGGACTCCATTACTGTCGGCTGTCTTTTTGTCCACATACTTCTTGACACGCTTTAAATATTTTATGGTCTTTATGGCCGGCGATTCGGGCTATATTATATATATTATACATTATTTTTATAAAGATTTCTTCTAACATAAGTTAAATTTGCATTTATGGGAACAACTTTCTTATGAGAACTTTCTCCTAGACTTAACTCCTTCGCCCAACTCACCTTTTTGTACAGCTTGATCCATGTGGAGTCGCCCTTTGAGTCGGTGTACTGGAGTCCAAAGAACCAAACCTCACGCAGGCCAATGGTCTTCACCACCTGGTCAAACAATTGTTTGCCCGTCGTCGTCGACTGGATGGCGAACTCCAGTTCCGCGTCCATTGTCGTGACGCGCACATTAAGCTGGAAAAGATAATGAAGATGTTATTAATATATGAGATTTATCTCCTTATTAACCTTAATTTCTATATCTTCTGTGGCCAAAAGTCACCTCTCTTTTGGGTGAATTAATATCTGGCTCATGTTGTTAACTTAAAATGCCATCCATGACTTTGAAAACTAACTAGATCGTGTCGTGGAATACATTCAGCTGGCAACATTCGAATGCAGAAACCAACTATAGGAGGGGGGCGGTCTGGCAAAGCCCCCTTCTTTTTAGGGGTCGATGGATTAACGGGATTTGAGCCAAGCGACCGACATGTGAGGAGGACACGTGCCAAGAGCTCCCATTTCGCTTTAGAGGATTGGATTCGATTGCCAACGACATGGCTTGGCTTGGCTTGCATAAGTCGCAAGCTTTCGACTTGGAAATGTGTGTGGAAAAAACAAACATAGAGGGGGAAAAATCAAAGGAAAATAGAGATCAAAAAAGAAAGAAAGAAAATGAAAGCTGGGGCCTGGGGCCTGGGCTGTAGTTAAAAATCACGCTCGGAAAACAGCAAAAATCAATCAGGCATGACAATAGCAACAAGCTGGAAATGACCAGTTAGGTAGATAGTACGGTACGGGGGGGGGTTTTTCCCTCCCCTCTCTCTTTATACGAGTATATGTACATAGATATAGCTATATAGACCAACTGACCACTGGTCACCCATACAAGAGAGAGAGCCAGCTTAGGCGCTATCTATCCCAGTGCGCGTGTCACTTGACCAATTTCCAGTTGCCTTTGTTATGAAGAGAGGTGGAAAATCGAGGGAAATTATTTTTGCCCCCCAACCAACCAAAACGCAACTACAATAGCAGAAGAGAAAAACAAAACACATGATGATGGCGCGTGAGATGTCAACTGTACTAACTGCAGTCTGGCATTATTACGCAATCGACCCCCCTCCCCAAAATTGAGGTCAAAGTAAATGCGATCACAGATCGGAGTTTGAGGTTTCAGTTTGTGCTGTAAATGGTGTAGTTTAAGCTTGAAAGATATAGCTAACTCTTAACTAAATTGGAAGATTTGGGTTTTATAATCCTTGGTTTTGGGGGCAAGAAATAGATGATAATCCTCATAATATATTTTGTAGAATTTTTAGATGTTTTAAAAATCAGACAAAGCCTTCTCAGTGGGGAAAAGAATTTTGTTAGAACTTCTTCTTTTCTGATTAGTAAAATTCTTAAAAAATTTTAAAAAAATTTTAAATATTTAATTGCAGTTAACTTTATATTTTTCAGTTTTTAACAAGATTTTTCTAAAGTTTTTTTTAATCTAAATTGCCAAAATGGTTTTCTTAGTTTCGAATTTGTGAACACATTTTATGATCTTTTTAAATCCGTTTTTAAAATCAGTTAAGTTGAGGATATAATGGCCATATTTTCCATATCTAAACTTAAAAATTAACTACTTTTTAGAACACATTTTTAAGAACTTTCTTGAGTTCAACTCTAAAACTTCAAACTCCCTCCTGCTTTAAGCTTTAAAGTTACATGGTCTAGGGAAAATCCGTTTGGTTTTCAGCCTCTTTTTTGACTCTTCCCCTGAAAACCATGGGAAAAACTGTAACTAAAACTCAAATTTAGAGCTCCCTGACGTAAATTTCATCATTTTGTTTCGCTTTTAGTTTTAGTTTTCAGCTTTTTGAGCTTTTCTGAGCTCATTGTTTGGTTTTCGCTTTCAGCTGTGGTAGCCATAGCTGCCGTAGCTGCTGTAGCTGCTGTTGAATGCAAATCAAACGTGACACAATGCTAGGAAATTGAAAACGTTTTTCATTTCAATCCAATTAACGTTTTTGGGTTAATGCAGCCGCCGCGCGGTTGCTGTTTCCCTTCCCGCACCGCCTCTAAAAAACCAACCCAACAACAATAACAACAAAGTAGAAACGGAAGTTTGAAGCATAACCAGAGTTTCAGATCAAAAGTAGCATTCTTTTTTGAAACCACAAAAGTGCAGCACCAAAACAAAAATGGTAGGGAAAATTCAGTACCGTTTTCCGCTTGACACTGACTCCGCCGTAACGCGGCAAACGGACGCGGCTGTCGGAGACGACGACCATTTTGGGCACCGAAGTAAACGGGTTACGCAGTAGCTTTTGAATTATTACGCTTTTCTATGCTAATCTCCGTCTGGGAAATATCTTAAGGAAAAGCCACCTTTCGACGGGAAACACCACGACACAACGGAAAATGCGATCTAAGCACCGACGACCACGACGACGACGACAATGCGATTCTGTTGTCCAGCGGCAACTGAGGAAAATGGAAAAGTCACGGCACGTTTTTAAGCCAAAAGAAAAAAACGAAAAGAAAAGCAAGGAAAAAAGAAGACACAGTAGCCAGAGGAGGAAAATGAATGGGAAAGCGCGAGCGGCGGCGGCAGAACGTAAAAGGGAAACAACAACAAAACTGAACTTAATTTCTGCCTTCCAAAATGGAAATGAAGGGAGGGAGGGTGGGTGGTTGGTGACTACTATATAGCTATATATATTCACACATTCGTCCGAGTCATTCGTTGTCAAGTTAATATAAATTGCATGTTAATTATGCATCTAAAATTGGACAGAAAAAAAGAATAAAACGAAGGAAAACCGACACTCTTGACAGCCAGACTACTGACCATAGAGGTCAACGAGGTTTATAGAACGAGCAAATGCACCAGGGGTCAAATTAATAGTCTAATAAAAGATGATAAAAGAAGATCTATAACTAGTGGAAGTAATTGGAAAATATTTTAAGAAATTGTAAACAAAAATGTTAGGAAAAAGGTCAAATTTTTTGGCATTTTTAAACTAAAAACCCAAAACTAGTTAATCTTAAACAAAAGAGGCCCTATTTTACTATCCTCTACTGTACCCAAAGAGCGTGAGAGAGTGCCGGTGGATAGACCTACCGACCGAGCCGACCCAGCCCCGAAGGTAGGCAAACAAATCAGCGTCAATCATACGACGCGTTGCCTGTCAGTTTTATTTTATTGGACCCGCTCCGGGCCTCCAAGAGCAATTAACCTCCTCCCCTACTCCCCCCCTCCTCCCTACTCAGTTAGCAAACTATACAAACATCAATACCTCTATATATTGAGGAAAAACTATAGCGAAAAGGGAAAGTTATGGGAGAGAAACCATTCAAGCACGATTTGCATCGATTGCAATAAACAGAGAAATTTCCATAAAAAGAAAAGGGAAAACGACTTCTTAAAGAAGTTAAGACCACCCAACTTACTATCAAGTCATTTTCCCATTTGGAAAGGCCACGTGATTCTAATAATGACCCCCATCCATCCATCAGCCTTTAAGCCATATTCCTGATAAGAAACTTTTTAAACTGCCAAAAAAAGAAAAGAAATCACCAAACATGTCATTGGAAAATGGCCAAAACTTTGGGTCTTATCAATGACGTCGTCGTTTAATCTCATTTTCCTTCCTTTCCCCCCTCTGGACTCTAAGATGATGAAATTTCCGTTTGGCAAATGTCCAAGAAAGGAAATCACCAAATTACCAACGTCAACAATGTGTGACGTCTGATCACGCTCGAAAGTTAATTTTTCTATCAAAAGATGGGATCCCTCCCCCTGGAATTGACGACAATTGTAGTTTTCTCGAGTGGCTGCTTTTGATAAGGACACAATTTCTAATAACAATGATAACTAACTGAACGAAGACGTACGTTCATCGTGTTTGTGATTTACCAGCTAATCTTTAATAATTTACTAACTTTTGTGCTTTATCTAAATCTGAAAAAAAATATAAAAAGTAAAGACAACAATTTATGGATTGGCTTTTCTATTAAAATTTCAACTTATCTTGACAGTAAGCAGACTCTACTAAAGCCAACCCCTAAATCATGATCTTTAATATTTGTATTTTATAAACTTAACTTACCGCTTTTGGAGACATTTTGTAGCTTGTTGTCTTTTCTTATTTATCGAAACGAAATGCTTTCTTCCAGGGGAACTTTTTCGTCTGAAATCTTCGTTGTCTTTGTGCTGCAATCTGTAAAATAGCAAAAATAAAACAAAATATAAAAAATAAATCAAAAATCTAAGAAATCATTAAACTATATATCAACTCAAGCTTACTTAACATGGTATTTAAAGGAACAAAAATAAAGGAAATTATTCCTTAAAACTGTTTTATTGTTAAAAACCTAAAAATTAAGTTTAAAAATAAAAACCAAAAGAAGGAGAATTTGATATGAAAGTTGTTACTCAGTTTTCATAGATGACTAATAGATGATGATAAATATTCATAAAACATTAGTAAGTAATGACAAATAGCTGGTTTATGATACCAAATGCCATTTTATTAGAATTTAAATAGTGGAAAATAAACTGCTTCATAAATCTGCAAGCCACGCGTTGTGTTAGCTGCAAATCGAAAGATCACGACAGTGTTTGGGTAACATCTTGCAAAATTGGCACTCTTAGTATAATTTACGAACATGTTTAATAATAGAAAATAGAAACGAATATATCACAGCTAGACGGTGTGGTTGTATCTGGTATAGATCTATAAGTATTTATGATTTCACCTGACATTCTGAGAGGGAAACTGCAAGCAGCTAAGGGCAATGTTGATGCTTTTAACATGGCTAAAGCCCTATACTTCAGATATATAGAACACATCTACATAGTTATTAGACACTTAAAATGAAGTAACAAACTTCAGACATAAGAGTTCTTAACACACTCCACTCCATAAACCCAAAACCCTAACACTACTTAAGTTATGACACCTAGAATTACAGCTCCTAAGTAGCTGATCTTTGCTTTGCCAAATACCTATGTTTACATTTCATAATTAACTCTTAGTTCTTGCTCGTGAAAAAAACTAAACTTAACTAAACACTTTAAGGTTCAAGTCCAAAAGTTTGTCAGCCATAATTTGGCTTTGAGCGAAAAGTGTGCTGTTTGCCTTTCTATATTTGGTGTGCACTTGATATTTACATTAACGAATGGCACAGCTCAAAAATGCTATTTTAAGAGCATACAAGGCAGCCCAAAAATATATATCCAATTAAATTTGACACAATTGACATTTGAACTGAACCCCCCCTTGCCCAGAAGGGGGTCAGCTAGGCTAGCAAGTTCAGCGGTTCACGTGACAAGCCATGACGTCAATGCTTTTCCCAAATATCTTTGCTTTGGCTTGCGCTTTGCTGCTGACTTTGACTTTGCTTTGGCCGCGTAAATTTGCCTCTGACGTTCAATATTTCTAGGGAAATGCAAATAAATAATCATTAGCTGCAAAAGGTATTTGTTTTTTCATGCTCTATGTGGCGGGGCTATAGTTTTTCTATGCGTTTTGGGTAGATTTTAGTTTTAAGATATGAAAAATTGAATTTTTTCGATAAAAAAAGAAATATTTAGTGAAATTTTGATCAATTTTGTTAAAAATAATAAGCAAAGTTAAGCCATAATATTAAAAATGATGTAAAGATAGAACAGTCTGCATTATTACAATAATCGTATTATCGATAATTTATCGATAAATTCGATAATAACTAACAAAGGCGATCACAAAATGTTGTTTGACTATTTTATTTATATCAAACAGCATTCTGTGATAGCCTTCTTAGTTTTTATCGAATTTATCGATATATTATCGATAATACGATTATTGTAACTAATTAACACAAGTAGAATTCATAAAAATATTCGAAAAAAATGCAAAACTTCCGTTTAGAAAACATAAATTAAAGACCTCGAAAAACATTTCTAAGCTTTTCAGCTTATGACTCCCTAGACGACCATTAGAAATCGGCAAAGAAGCATCCCAAAGGTTCGATTCCTTCTGGGAATAGCAAAACCCATTCCTTTCTGGTTTTTTTTTCGTTAAGAATATTATTCGGTTTGCACAAATTATGACATCATGCCACATTTATTATCGCCACTGCGTGAACTTGAAGAGGGCTCCCTCCTCGAAAGTAAGAAAGAAAAAAAAGTGGAATGAGCTCATGCTTCTTTTTGGTGTTTGTGAATGGGACGGTTTTTAGTTATTTTTTTTTTTTTGGTTTTCTGGCTCTGTGTTGACTCTGCTAATCAACGGCCTCGAATTCCTTTGGCCTGATATCCGAATAGAGAGCGCAATCGTGTCGCCAAGTGAATCGAAATCGGTAATTAAGTGCATCCTGCTGCCCGCCCTGTTTATCTCAGTTTCTTTTTTTCTTTCTTTCTTTTTTTTTTTCATTTTACCCTCCTCTTATGAATGGAGAACTGTGATCGTGTGGGGAACGCAAAAAGCGTCATTTCCTCTGATTGCGATTTTATTTTTATTTAATTTAGATTTTTTTTTTCCAGCTCAACTCTCTTGCTGTTTAACATCCCCCCGGTATATAGGTACATAATAGAGACCCCACTACTAACTATTAGCTTTGATCGTTGGCCGCTTGTCTGCTTAGCGGAAATGATTTGGCAAATTCATGTGTAATTTATACAGAAAAACATTTAAAAACTTTAATTCGAATGGCGGTGTAACAGCCACACTGAGAGGAAAACTATTCTATTGACTTTTTGAGCTGCTAAGTCTTGAAGTCTTGACGATGGGAAAAGGTTAAAAAAGAGGACAACTTAGAACTTTTTCTTAACTAAACATCAAATTAATCAAGTAAGCTAGCTGTTTTGTAATTATTTTTACAATTTTCTTAATGAATGGAGGGTTAATATTCTTTCTTACTTCCCACAATCATTAATTAACTTAAAAAAATGACCAACGTTTACATAATTTCAGTTTCGCTTTTCTTTTTTTTTTTTTTTTTGGAGACACCACCAACAGAGAGATCTTGGCCAGAGATCATTGTTTTGTTTATGTTTAATATCCATTAACTACATTAATGAGCAGCTCAACAGAAATGTGGAAAAAATGTGGAGTCCGAAAAAGAGACGGCAAAAATCACGTTTATTGTTTGACCACCGGAACCACACTTAAAAAAAAAAAAAAAAAAAGAGGGTAACAAAACCAAACACACTTAATGGACAGAGAAAAACTGTTATTGCGTATGCGCAACGCATTTTAAAATCCATCAAATTAAATGAAGTTGAAAAGGAGGGGAAAAATGCAGACCCTCCCCCTCCCTCAGACTTTTACTTTTCTTCACGTTTCTCTGTAGAAAAAAAAAACCCTCATAATAATGAGCTTTAAAACTAAAATGATGTCTGGCCCGAGCACTTTTAATTTCAACAATTATTTGTCTTTTTTCTCCAGTCTTGTTTTTCTCTCTCTCTCTCTGTCTTTTGTTTTCATGGCAAGTTGATTTTTCCTCCACAATAATTAAAATGCGCAACCGAAGGCAATCAAGCGATCAGCCAAACCAAACTGACCAAGTAAACTATATAGGATATATATCTCTCTCTCTCTTTATATTCATTTTATGAATGGAAATGATCGGCAAAACAAAGCGAGAAAAAACAAACTTAATTACATTAGATTTTTGGGCTCTTTTTTCAACCCACCTTGTTTGTCCATTTATCTAAGCCCTAACAGCTGTTCATTAAAGGCTAAAACTAAAACAGCTACCACGAACAAATAGGCCAGAGAACAAAGCAATTCATCAACTTGGCGGCAGTTTTTCTTTTAAAGAAATAAAGGAATATGCCTTAGATGTATGGAATGATAGATACCTAGCAATATTGATTAAAAATAATATCATTTTGTTGCTCAAAAAGATCATTAGAGGTATGAAAACAAAGTTTCATCTTCTTGTAGTAAGTTTAAGACTGCTTTTTTTTATAATTTTTAAAGGTTTACTAACACTTTTTCTTTAAACCAGTGTGACCATCTCTTATTTTGTTTATCACCTTCCATTACCCAATTTGTTTGGTGACCTTATCTAAGTTGGTTAACCGATAAATACCCCAAAAATCTACTCATCAACATTACTGATAACTGATAAACTAATCACAGTTTTCTAGTACTTTTAGAGGCACTCAAAAAACCCATCTACCCTTGACCAAAACTAAAACCCATCAAACTTGACGTCAATTTTGCTTCCAGAAAAAGACAAAAAATGTGAAAAAACACAAAAAAAAAACTAGAAAAAACAGAAGACATAATAACAAATGTGACGATTTAATGAAGCAAATTAGGCTTAAATGTTCTAGATACCAAAGAGCAAACAAAATCGCTCACGTAATGAAAATATACGACAGCGGGCGGAACAATAATAAAAGGCACACATGGACATGCCAAGAAGGGGGGGCGGGGATAAGGGAGCAGTAGACTTTGGAAAATGAGACACCTCACGAAGGGGAAATGAAAACATCAGCGAGAGATGCCGCAATTAACACAGCACGCAAATACATTAGCCACATTCTCCCACTCTCACGTTCTTTACCCTACAGATTTGCTTAGTTCAGGCCCCACTGTTCATGGTTTTTAGTTTCCTCTGTTTTTTTTTTGTTTTTTTTTAATCATTTTGAAACTGCCAACTCAGAAGAACAATTAGTTCTTTTGTTTGGTGGATTTATTTGCCATGGTTCTTTATTGGGGATTATTAATGAAAGAATGACTGTTATGTTTGCCCAAGGCGTTAGTCAACACTTGAAGTGGAAATGATGAATGGTTTGTAAAGTTTATGACTGGGTTTAATTCGTAAAAAAAACAAGATTATAAACTATTGATAGTCGGAATAACTGAAGAAAGAAACTTTTATTACAAACTTCAAAAAGGAAATGGAATGAGTTACCATCCAAAGTTTGACCATTCATGCGATGTAATGTGACCAAAGTCTAGTAGACGATCAAAGTTTGAATTATAAACTTAAAAAACTCTCCAAGTTCAAGGTTTACATCGGAAACACTATTATTCCACTAAAAGATGATCAGTTTGTTTGTTACTTCCCCATCTATAAAGCAAAATCAGGGTTATGCAACCAACTAAACCCCCAACCACCACCCACCATCGATAGATTGCCGTTAATTGTTTTTGTCAATTGCCCAACGTATCTCGCATGCAAAACACACGCAAACAGATACAATTGTTGTTGGCCATTTGTT